TCAGAAGAACTTACAGATATGGATATACCTATCTATGGAAAACAGCAAGTCTGGAAACCTTCTTTTCATCCAGCCTAACTGAAGGGCTTAATAAATTTGTTTGGAATTATTCTGCAAACCAGCAGATTTTTTGAATTTTTTGAGGCAAGAAATCCCCAACTTAATCTAATGTAAGTCAATGCAAGTTAGTTAAGGATTTCTTTTCTTGCTTAGTGGTTATTTCCCTGTACTGATGTGAGGGTTACTACTAAAATACATGGGCCAGCTACTCCTCCTACAGGTCAACACGCTGAGATCTCCAGTGGTGAGAAAATGGTTCTGGTGTTTCAGAAGGTGGCATATTTTTTTATAATGCCCCAGCCCAATTACAGGCACCAAATTATTTCTGGAGGCAAAGCAGCATTTTCTGCTACCCCTTGCAGAAGAGAAGAAACCACGATTTCAACTGTTTGTATTCATTAAAGATCCTCTCACACACTTCATAACAGTAGGTTCTTTAACCCCAAGGCTTTGGCCAAATTCCAACTCAATTACTGTCTACCTGAAAATTCTCCCATTAAAGTAGGATTGATGGATTTGTCTCCTCCCTTAAACTGGCGAACTGCAAAGAGCTTTCTAGGCTTCATCTTCAAACTGGCTGATTTCAGGGTTAGGTTAGGAACATCAGCACACTCACATGACCCAGGACTATACACCAAAATTAGTACTTGTTAACATTTCAAAAGGACATTATTAATTAATTAATTGATATGAAAAGCACAACTCCACACTGTATCAAGAAAAAAAACCAGAAAAGATCACATGCAATAAACTTGCTGAGAAATCCACTGGCAAATGGAGTTAGTGGATACAAGTGAAGACTGAAGATCTAACTGCAGACCAACATGATGTGTTAATATTGTTTCAGATCCACCCCTGGGATAAACAACAACATTCCTAGTTTTAGTAGAAGGCAGAAATGCTTGTCATCCAGTGGCTACATGGGCTATAAATTAATTGAATCACTTTACAGCTTTTGTTCTTTGATGGCAGCATATGCTGGGGATGCTTGATTTGGTTTGTCCAGAATGACAATGAACAGTTGAAGACATGTCTGCCTACTGAGAAAGCTTTCAGTGAAATGTTCTGCATAATTAGAGAGGGTAGGATATGCCCTTGGAGAATAATTCCTTGAAATACTTCTGGCAGTGAAAGGTTTGCCTAAGGGTGGATCACCCCATTCCATGGAAAAACCAAGAAGGGAGCAGTGCAGCAGGTCTGTGAGATGTGCAGTGGTTCGGATACCAGCATCCTTGGAGCTTTACAGGTTGTCTGGAAATGCCTGCTTCTGATTTACCTTCAGTAATTGCTCTCTCTCAGCTTCCTAGTGGTGCTGATGCTCCCACGTGGTTGCACACAGCCACCCTTCCTCCCAAAGGGCTCCCCGGGGTCCAAGCACCAGCAGCAGCAATCCTTCTGCTCTTGTGTCAGATGGCAAGGGCAACTGAGGATGTTGAAGGGGGTCCTGCTGTGGGACAAGTATTCTGGGAGTGGAAGATGGGGAAAAAAAAAAAAGAGGGAATGTTGTTGGAGGCTTAGGAAAATCCCAAAAATAACATCAACTGTATTTAAAGGACAGAATTTTAAAATATGACATTGCTATACATTTTCTAATTGATTTTTTTAAAGGATGAATTATTATACTAGAAAAAAGTAGCCCATCAAAATGGCTCTCTGGTGTTCCAAAAGTATGTAATCCCGCTTCTGCCTGCACCTATGGATTTAACTTTTACCAACTTTTACAAGATTTTTTAAAAAAATATGACGAGAAGTGCTTGGTTACATTCCAATAGGCAACAGTCAGCAGTGTAAAATGCCTCCATGCTCAGAACAGCTTCCTCAGGTAGTGATTTCCATGTCACATTTAGCTGAGATCAGCACGGATTGCGGGGAAGGACAGCTCAGCTCCAGCTGTGCACTCCCACCCCCCTCCCTGCGCTGGCACTCATTTAGCTTCCAATTCACTCACACTGGGGAACTGATCTCACTGAAAACTAAAGAAGTCTTTTTAGGTTTTATCCTGATCCTTCAGTGACTCTTGCTGATAGTAAGCATAACTGAAAGACTGCAGAACTAAGGTATTCAGCAAATGTATTTGGCATGTTTAAGCATAAGCAGAAAAGCATTCTTCTGGATATAATACCATGGGCTGCAATTTCCATATAGTAATGCTTTACAAAGTACTTCATGCTATCTTTCAAAGATGTGCACCAGTTTCACTGATTAATTTATTAGTATGACAGGTCATTTACTGCCTGGATATATCAATGACATGGAAGACAACAGGAATTTTAGCGATGAGAATAAGAATGGCAGTGCTGTGGGTGACAGTACTTTGTATTCGCTGGCAAGCCCCATGTGAAGAGGTTCAGTTAAAAACCCAGATGAGGAGACACAGAACGACTCCATCAGAGGTGTCTGCTTGGCTGCACGGTGACAGATGGCAAAGGCTGAATGGTTAATGCCATTTCTCAGCCTGCTGGCCTGGCTTGTGCTCCCAAGTGCTTTATACGGTCTCAGGAAACTGCAGCAAGCGTGTGTGATGATTTGCCACTGAGGCTTAGTAAGATCTAGCTACATATTCATGACCTTTAGCCTAGCTGACTGATTTGGAGCTTTATCAAACAGCTGATTATGTGGCTTTTCCTTTTCCTGCCTATTTTTTAAAAATATAAATATGAATGAATTCTGCATTCTGTATCTCCCTGATTTCCTAAGAATGCCAGACATTTTGTGGTGAAGGCATTAATTAGCAAAGGCTTGTGTGACTGATGTTTTAGTCTATCAGTACTTTAGGTCTCTGCAGATGAAAATGCTGTGGTATCATGGGAAATGTGTACTTAACTCTAACAGCAAATGGAGGTACAACACTGGTCTCCTTTGGCATGTTTAGGCCTGTTCCTTTTCTGAACTGCTGAACCACTGCAACAAGAACTGATATCACAGGATATAACTTTAGATTTGATTACTATTATCTCTTATACCCACACTCACTACATGTGTAAAGCTCAGTCGGCCTGGCATTCTGAATTTCTGTTTGCAATTAAACCTTAATTGCAAACAGTGGGTCACAGTGGTTGGACTGCCTTCATCACAGTTCTTGAAACCAGGACTTTCTTAGACAGGAATGGAAGACGAAGTTTTCTTACTTCACACTAACAAAATTAAAAGCAGAATATAATTTCTGCATAATGCAATGAAATAATATGAAGGGCTATGAGGGGAAATTTTATTCTGCCTCTAAAATATACATATTAGTTCAACATGATCTTACACAATTTGACAAGAGGATTTTCATTATTAATAAGATGAAATGTAAGGCTTCTAATTAAGTGGAAAACAAACCAGTGTAAACTACAGACAGAACACACAAACCTATTAGGTTTTAAATTTAATAATAAATCATTTATCTGAAAGCCAGCTGACTTGTTGCATGATGTTACTTGATGAGGTTTTATTTAATTTCTGCAATTTTTCTTTCATCTATCCTTACTATTCTTATACCAAAACAACAGTAAGTTTGGTTTTTTGAATCCCTATGCTGAAATGCTACTCAATACAATTATCAGGTAACAAAATGCCTTAGCAAGAGTCTCATTCATTTGGGAGGGCTAATTTACAAGTAAAATGAAATGTCTAATATGAATAGAACACTAAATTAGAACTGCACTGTTGGACTGTAAAAACAAAAATACTAGATTAAAAAAATTACAAATTTCATCTGGAAAAATGCTAAATAGCCCTTGCCCACAGGAACCTTCAGAACCAAGTAATTAATGACTTCCAAAGGATTTAAAATACTATCGAATGTGGAATATGCCACATGAAGACAATTGCTCAGAGAAATCCTTCAACAGGTAAAGTATTATCTGCCTAAAAATGATGTAACTTGGCTCTGTCTGAAGCAATTAGTGTTTCATAACAAACTAATTACCAACTATGAGCATTACACATAATTCTGAGCATTACAAGTAATTCTCAGTTACTTGTATGAAGCATGAGTACATGCAAGGTACCACACATGCAGCTGAGGCTGTGTAGTGACTCTTTTCTGTGATCTTTGTGTAGAAAGTGGCCGTCCATAATTGGTGACCAACTATCGATCAACAGATTCTATTTCACTTATTCTGCCATGTTCTCACTGCTTCACAAATCCTCATTTGAAAGTGAATATTTTTCATATTATCACCTGTTAACAGATCTCATAATCTAGAGGCAGACACTCCTGGGTTGCTATTTTTTTCTGACAAGGATAGACAAGAATACTGAAGTTCTTGTGACACCTGCTAGAGAATATGGTCATAAGTGCTCCATTCAAAGTTTCTCAAACACCAAATATGTATTGTCTGCACATGGAATGCCATGTTATTTTTAGCTGTACAGCCTTTTGAAAATGCTAGCCTTAACAGCAGCAAGTACCATTTTATCTTATTAGCAGGAGTTCTATGATTTGCACGGATGGTGAGGGTCCAGAGAGTCAGGATTATACAGCAAAGAAATGTACCCCTCTCTCAATTTTCATCTGATAAAAGTCACTGGGCTATGCTCCTTTCATCTGCAGAAATGGGAAGAAACAATAAAAGCATTTTATACTGTGTTCCCATGTTTAGGATAGGAAAAAATGCTTTAATGGTTCTAACAATTATTTTTTCATGTATGCTGTATATTCAGACAATTCCTAAAGCTGATCTGCCATGAAAGTCCAGAAAGATTTTTCCTATTAGGTATCACAAAAATCATCAGAGGACAGTACAGAAGATCTAAGTTGGGTCACAGTAAAATTATCATTTTTACTTGTGGCAAGTGTTCTTTCTTGCTTAAATCAAACCTCAATTATTTCATCCTACTTATTCTTTAGAAAGCAGAAGTTTAGTATAAATATGTCAGATGAAATCTTTTCTGAGAAATGCATGTGGGACAAAGAAGCAAAGAACCACAGATGACCCCAGAAGGAAACTGTATAAAGTCAAACAGGATGATCACCTGAGTGTGTCTTTATTTGCCAGTATACACATCATATTTGTTAGAACATTGTCACACTGGTTAATTTAAAATTCTCTAAGCAGAAGGTTCATGACATCAACAAAGACTGTGGGGACAGAAAGGGAACCGGGAAAACTTAGGGAATTTGTAAACAGAGCCAAAATGTGTGTGAGGGCTAGGATTACCTTGCCAAAATTAAAAAATATTTTTTCTTTAATGCAGACAGTGGTTCCAAAGGTTGACCAAACATTGCTATCTTCTGAACAGTGAAGTCTGTTTTTGTTTACGAGGTAATGAAATCCAAAGGAAAGTGACAACAAAAGGTTTTAAAAGTGATTTTTCCTTTTTTTCAAATACTTTCCAGCAATTAAATTCACATGCAAAAAGCTGATTTCACATACAGAAAATACTTTGAAATATCCAAAGTCCTCAAACTGACAAAAATACATTTCACAGAGATAAACAAAATACAAATCTACAGCTGCAAAGTTTCAGATATGCAAAATGACTATTTTAACGTTGTGACAGATCCAAGGTTTGAAAATATACTACAGCATGTTTCAATCAAACTAACATGGGACTGAAGCTACCTGTGCTGTACAGGTAAATACAACTAAAACCAGCTGGTGGCATTCTGGCTCTCCCCAGAATAGCAATGGGATGTGTGAGCTGAAAGTCCAAGGCTTTTTACAGAAAGAGAACTGACAACATTAAACTGATCTTGCACACTGGAAACCCTCAAGATTAATATACAGTAGCACAAAAATGATAAAAGTAGTTTTTTGCTAGGTAATAAGAAATAAACCAAAACAACAAGTATCTGACAACACTCAACTGGAGATACTGTAGATACAACGTGACACTTAATTATAAATCCCTCTGGGGACTGAGAGTCTGACACGCCATGTGCAGATCTGCACATTCATCGCCAGAGCTCCTGCTTTCACCTGATGTGGACTGAAATGCCATGAAACGTATGTCTTCATCTGGATTATAATGACAGTTTCAAACAAAGTTCTCAGGCTTCAATAAGCTGCATAAACAGCTGCAAACAGTCATTTGCTCTAATTATGTTACTGTCAAAATGTAAAAAAAAAAAAAAAAAAAAAAAAAGGATTTTTTAGAGGAATTTTAATTACTGCTTATTCAATTTAAAAAAGAAACAAAAAAGAAAAGCAGCTCAAGGAATACTGAAAATCTGTGTGAATTCAGTCACAGGCTTTAGTTAAGGGCACCAAGGTTCTGTACAGAAATGAAAGTATGAAAACAAATACAAATTCAAGAAAGGAAATAAGCACTGATACTTCACCTCTAAAACATTTAGCAAAAATGCCTTTTGTTGTGCATATAATTAGGATCATGGTTGATAACACAACTGCAATGTACCTACTTTCTACAATCTTTGAGTGATATATAAAAATAATTCTATGACTTCTGAGACAAACAGGACTTGCAAATATAACTTATTCCCATTAAAACTGTGCTTGGTGTCTTAGATGTTTAAGGCTAGACATGCATTGAAATTTAAGGAATTTCAGGTTGAAACAGTAGTTGAAAACCGTGTTATATTACAGAAGTTGTACAATGAAGGGACACTGGTAGGAAAGGTACATATGATGCAGCATCAGTCCGTTCCTGTGAGACCAGCATACGCCAGATAATTATTGTACAACATCAGGACTTCAGACACAGGAAAGCCAAATCTATTCCTAAAGCAGCACACTTCAGATATAGGTAGAACATGGTAAACCAAGCTAATCTGACAGCACTTACTGACTGATATTTTTGTTTGTGATAGGATTTTGATTAAAATGCACCAAGAAACACAATCCAAACACTTTGCTACTGATATAACAATGCACATCCAGTCAGAAAAGAGGTATTTGGAATTGCCAGCTGGGAGTCACATTTACAGAAGCCTATTTTATATTTGTTAACAGACCAGATATCATTTTTGTCTTTAACTAATAGCAAGTTCAAACATTATTTGTCCAAAAATTAGAAACAGGCTTGGTTCTTTGGTTAACACCACGTTACATCAGACACAGGAATCAATTAAGAATAAACAGCCATATGACAAAGTTTTTTGGATGGGGGGTGGGGTGAGGGAGAGGAAGGAAAGGGGAAAACTTCAAATTCAAAGAAATGCATTGTGTTAAACCGAACTGCCCTTTGAAACCTCCTGGACTAGGAATAATCAGTTTAAGACATCTCTTCGGTTGCAGTGACATTGCTTACACACCATAACTTCAGTTTGTCTACATATTAAGTTTCATACAAAAGAAGGAAGGCACCGAGTGCATCGGTGGCATACAGGCAGTATAAAAGTATGCAAGAAAATGCTACATACTGTATATTTCATACCTTTTAGAAATGTGGTGAATGTGTGCTATCTCTATGCAATATAATGCTTCACAAATCCAACTCCTTATATCCAAATGAAAGAATGAATTAAAATGTGAAACACATTTTAATAATCTTGCTGGTAACAGCACAATTCAATATTTGTATTCACTAAGATCAGTTATTAGCTTATAGTCACCAGAAAGACAAGTTCAAAATCACTGAAGATCAAGGGAACTATAATCTAAAACTATATTTTGGGACAGAGCCAGCAGCCTTTACTCATGGCAGATGTTCCACTAAGAATGGAGAGGAGGCTCAGTTTTACCACTGTTATTCATGTTAATAGTGCCTTTCTCTGAGACATCCCCAGGAATGGATGGAAGTGCTTACAGGGAAAAGTCCTACACAGCATGAAAGACATCTGGTTAAACCAGGACCTGAGTAAAAGGCAGAAGGTTCAGGCCCTTAGTCATGATATTAGCACTTTTGATTGCGTTAACAGTGATATAGCTTGCTCATAGAGCATTTAATTTTACATTGTTAAATCATCTTATATAAAAATAGGTAAGAAAGCTCTGTAAGAAAGTATATATACTATATAAGGAGAAATGTCTCCTTAAAAAAAGCAAATAAAGGGAAAAATTGAATAAAAGGTTTCACTAATTACACTTTGTCATGAAAATCACATTAAAAACATTTATCATAAACGAAACAGTACTGAGCACTAATGAACCTTGTGGTTTACTGGAAAGAACAGCAAACTAGCTGTATAGTAAAAAAAGATCATTGCTCTATCTCCTTTTTTGTAAATATTCCCTAATACATTCAACTGCTTAGAAATTTTCTTAAAATGTCATAATAAGCCATTTACAAAATTGACAATCAAAACTGGTTCAAAGCCCTGCTCCTTGCTTGTACTATGGCCTAGAGATTACATCTCAAAGCTATGATAATGCTTCTAGCTAATTCTGCAAATTCATTCAAATTCACGCTTTGGAAATAAACCAAAAGTTAAAAAGCAATCCTCAGCATGCAGTCAGTGTCCACAGGGTTTGCAAAACACAGAAAAAAAATTATATCGATACAATGGGCAAGACTCTTGTTCTGAATACAAGAGAGAAAAGGATGACATTAATTACATCCCTGAATGTCCATGAGGTATTCCTTCAGTGGTATGGTATTACTGTTTCTTCTCTCCTGAGTAGGGCCTTTATGCCAGCTCGACCAGTAGATGCTTCCAAGGAAATGAATTAATCCTTCTTGCTATAAGCCAGCTTTGCCCTTGTCTGGGCAGAGCTGTCTCCTGATCATTCCTACAGGAACAGTACCACCCACTTTGCTGACTCCTGGCCCACTCCTCAGCATTAGGACCATGTATCTAGATCAACCCAGCATAAGCCTGAACAGCAAAACTTGATCCAGCAAAACCTGATGCAGCATGTACCAGGCCCATCCATTACTTCAGTCACACCACATAGGAACTAAGCTTGCCAGCACTAATAATTGTGCCATATTCAGGTAGACATAATATAAGCAGATACTCGTGCATAAGATTTCTGCATAGTCTGCAGAAAGGAAGAAAGCCTGCTTGAATTTAAGGAGGGGCAGTGATAAATTCTTAAGGCTAAACTAATCCATGTCACTGTAGGACAGTTGGCACTTGCCCTACTCACCCAAGGCAAATAAAAACCCATCTACCCGCTGTACAATACACTGGTTTAGAAGCCACACAATGTCCACAGAGACCAGCACTGCTCTGGATGCATGAACTCCACAACTCACATGTCACAGTTTGTCTGAGCAGGGCCCTCCAAGGGCCACAGGGTTCCAGAGAGGAATATGAGTCACTGTTGCTGCTACTGTAAAAAGCCATCTCTTATTTCAATGCTCTTGCTCTCAGATGACATCTCTTCAATGGGTGTTGGTGATTCACTGACAAGGAAATGCTCCTGTGACTCTTCTCTCAAGGACTACCATCAGAACAAAGTAGTCTGAAATCCAGTTGTGATGTACTACAAAATCTAGCAGTTGAGTTAGAGACAAAAAACCCAGAACATTCTTGGTGGCTCCTTCTAACAATAAACATTGCTGAATGTTCCAGTTAAAGTGATCAACATGTTTAGGGACTGCTTTAACATTTTTAATAATAAGTTTTAAAAATATTTCAAAAGCCAAGGAAAAGAAGAAACAAAAATAAGTGATAATGATTAAATAACAAGTTTGTGACAGTATCTGGATGTTTGTTTTTTTGCCTCCATTCATATTGAAATCATATTTGTCTGTGTTGCAGGTGCCAGGCCGTTCCACCCCTCTAACCTACCAATCCCATTGCTCTTCACACCTTCAGGGTCAGGTCTGCTCTCCTCTTGAAGCCTGTGGGCTCCTCTCACTAACATTAATGGCAGGCAGGCATGCACATCAGTGGGAAAATTAAAAGAATGTTTACCTTTTATTGAGAATTCAGCTTCAGAAAGAAGTCAGTCTGCCTTACAAGCAAGTGACAAACCAGGATTTGAAGGACTGCTATTAACAGGACAGCTTTTTTTCCTCCAGAAGTGTAGAGGACTCACTAGAACTCTAAATTCAATGAAAGGGCATTCTGTTGTTACTTTCAAGCTGGAACAGCTCAGGCCAAAAGGCCTGCCCTCAAACCTCATTCCCTGATCTTACCCCACTCTTTTTGTTAGAATTGGGATGTGTAAGAGTGATCTGTACTCAATTCCTACCTGAAAATGTCTCCCTTGAAGAAAGTTTCTTTTTCTATTTCGCTATATTAAAACTGATGGTTTGCATTTCAGAAATCACTGTGAGTTAGAAAGGTGACAAAAATTTTGCACCAGTACCGTAAAGTACAGAGTGTCCCTGATCTCTAAGGCCCTGTGACTGCCACAGGCAGCTTTTCATGGCCATGGGGAGTTTGCAGGAGTGAGCCATTGGGGAGAAAAGAGAATAAATCAAGAACACAAACACAAATTTTAGACAAAAAAAGAACTTCTCCAAAGGTGTGAAAATGGGAAGGTGATGCTGACACTGCATCTGCCATCAAAATTCATTGCAGAAATTTACAGGTAAAAATATTTCCAACAGTAAATGCCATAAAATCTTGTTTTCAGCTCAAGTATTTTCTAAATTGATAACAATGTTTAGCTCCCAGAAAAGCACACATGTTCATTCCAAGGGCTCCCCAAATTTCCAGATCTAACTATTAATGAGTTTAGTGGACTTCCATTTCATTTAGAACTTGTATCATATTTGTCCTGTAGTAGAGCTTACACCTTGCCTTGCTTCTGCCTTTGCAGTCAGACCTCACCATGCAGCTGCAGCGTGGACATCTCACATCCTGAGCGTGAGGCAGCAGCACAGGGACCAAGCTTTGCATCCTTCCAGTGCTCCCCTGGTTCCCTGTGCCCCCTGGCTGAACAGGAGCAGCAGGATGGCTCTGCTGCCTTCCTGCTCCACAGGATGTGAGACAGCGATGTCCTGCAGGCGCTGCACAGCCTCTCTCCTTCGGTGCAGTGGTTCCACGCTTGCCTGTCCTGCCCTTCACAGCCTTGCCCTTAACAGAAAGGAACTGACCAACTCTTTCACATTTATAATACTTTAGGATGACCTATGTGAAATGTTCTAAGCACTAAACCAAACAGGTTATGTACAGAAAGGATACAATACTTCCAAGAAGAGAATCTGTACAAACGTCACTGTTCTACAATTATTTAAGGCTACACTGACAGGAAACAGATTCAGTTCAAGATCTGCAATTTCTACATGGTTTGCTGACACACAGAAAAGTAAAACTTGATACATTTTTTTCAAGTACTTACTGTACTTTTGAACAAAGGCAAACAACAAAAAGCTATGAAGAAAACACAGCCAACTCTGGGGAAAATATAAGTGCCTCTCATTTGTTACTGATACTTTTGCTCTTCAGCAATTCTGTTCCATGCTTAAGACCTAACTGAATGCACAAAACCACACTGTGTGAGCAAGCCCTTATGTAGGGTTTAAAAAACCCACAACAGATGAAGGCAGATTTCAAATACAAAGGTGTAGGTTTGCATAAGCAATGAAAAACAAAATTACAAACAAATCACATCATAAGAATAGGTTCTAGGAAGAAAAAACTAACATGACAGCTATTGGAACTACAATTAACTCACAAAATCCCAAGGTGAATCCAATTACTGGTGTGACTGGTTTTGCACAGCAAATCCATGTTCTACGGTGTCAAAATTAAACATTAATTTCCATTCTTTAAACATTCAGTTTCTAGCCTCTGTACAGTATAAATCCAAATAAACCAATCCTTCTTCTCTGAAGCACAGACTGGTCCCGAATACTTTAGGAAAAGTCCTAGAGGGAGATTCCTCTTCCCAAATGAGCCCAACACAGAGTATCATATATCTCTGTTGTGTCTAAATTAAGATTTCAGTGCCTTGGAAATCTAAATGGTGAAATGCAAAGCTGAAGCAACGCAACCTACAAACAGAAACCCACATCGTGACACTGTTTCGTTTAGTTTGGTTCTGTAGGAGGTTATTTGCTGCACCTTCCAAACTGACTTCTTCATTTGTTCAGTGATGATGTTAACTATGTTCTCCACTGGAATTACCTGACTCAGTTCTTGCTGTTCAATATTGTACATTTTAAATAACAAACCTGTACAAAGAGACAACCATCAAGAGACAATTTTCAGTTTTAGGAAAGAGCATCTAAATATCCACAAACAGAATAGATAAAACCACTTCCACATCCAACAAAAAACTGCTTCACAACAGCTTCTATGTCATTGCTTCTATTATACGGAAAGCTGCAAAGATTGTGAAAATTGGAGCATTTTCCTTATGCATATTAAATTAATGCTGATTTTGTATTAAATTCTACACTCAACATTACATTTCTTAAACTGGACTAACAAAAGTGAAGGAGAGAGACAACCTGCATTGTATTACTGCAAGACCATTCCTGTTTAAAGAAAGTTTTTGCATTATTTGTATTTAGTAAAAAAGCTTCTGTAAATGAAGCAGCAGTGCAATATCAGGTGGAAAAAACCCAAAAACCAAAGATCTGTAATAATGTTTAAGTCTTTAAATCAACAAAAACTGAAAGCCTGGCTCTGCAAATAAATCATTCTAATGACACCAAATAAACCAAGATGTAGAATTACAAAATCCTTTAAAAAGGACTTAATGAAATTGTTAAATAGTGTGAGAATTTGAAAACCATGTGAAATGTCTTTATTATAGCATACACACTATCCCCAGTCTCACTGTACTTGACTCTCTGTATACCCCAAAGCCAGGACTGTTCAAAGGTATTATAAAGGAATTCAAGGGGAACACATCTGTCCTAATGAGAACACTTGAGACTAACACTAATTGTCTCAACATAATCCAACACTTTACTCTTCTACTTACCAAGTGCTACAACAGTCAGTGAGGTCTCATATTAGTAAGACATTACCATCATTTATAAGAAAAAAAAAATTGCTTGTTTTCTTTACAGGAACAATTAAAATTAAACAAAACTTGTAATTACAAACAAATTCAGCAGTCAATAAATTAGTGTGAGTCCACCTAAAGGCTTTGGGACAAATAGGAACCTCAGAAGCACTTATTTCCCCAATTTTGGTGGATGCCAGGAGTGTTTATCTGGTGATACTGCAGCTTCTCAACTGCATGATTAGAAAGCTGTATCCCAACCTGAACATAAGCAAAGCAAACTTCTATTTTGTGTGTGAACATTCGTGCAATTGCTGGCAAATCTCTAGAAAAATAACTTACTGATGTTCTCTTCTTCAAGAAGAAAGGTAAAAACCCCTGGTCTGCTCTCTACTTCCAACAAACAGCATATGGTAATGCCTAAAACAGCTCACTAGAGACTTGATTGGATACCTGTTTCAAGCAAAGCCATAGTATTTTGCATTCATTCAGAGTAGTTCAACTGCTGCTACTTCCTTCACAGTCTTTCAACCTAACTTCCAACTGCTGACATTTTAAATAAACCGGTATCAATTTGTTTAATGAAAATACATTTTAGTAAAGTCGTGCTCTATGAGCTTCCTACATTGGAATACATGAATAGAGGAAGTGCTTTCAACAGAAAGTTACATAGTTTTACAGTACAACCTGTCTAAGGAGTTTTGGAAGGGACCAAACGAATGGTCTGGTCTCTTTGGATTAGGCAGAAGTACAGGCAAGAGGGAAAAACCCAATTTTTTGCCATATATAGAGCTTGTTCCTGTCACAGATTGAAGAAACATTAGTTTGATGTCAGAGTTCACCTGATGCCCAAATGCCAGTATTTTTCAAACCAACTGCATATCAAAAAATGAAAACTTACTTTACCAAGCTCCTGGAAAGAAACTCAGTGCAAAACAACAGTATATTTCTATTTGCTATATTATGAAGTGTTCTTTCACCAGTGGTTTTCCTTTTTTTTTTTTGCTTTTGCTTTACAGACCATTAACTTTTTCTGAAAGTGCAAACTATTGACCTTTAATCTGAATGCAGGCAGGTCAGAAGCTACAGTATTAAAGCAATACAAAAGGTACACAAGGAGGAGCTTACATTAATTTGAAGAACCTCGCACAAAATGTTTCTGAATTGAAAATCACAAAACAAACCCAAACAAATACAGCATCAGGTGGATGGGGAAGGGACCGCTATCGTATCTGTGTACAGCAAGGATCCTCTGACACCAAGGAAGTTCATGACACCAAGTGAAGATTCTGTATTAAATCCCACCATTTTGCAGGTTGTGCATCCTGTACGATGGAATGTTGACCGCAGTTTCCATTTTTCACTCCCACGACGAATCTGCTGATTGCGACCAGGGATGATCATCCTCCTGGGAGAACAAGCTCCCTTAGAACCACAGCTGCACTTTCTGCTACCCATTAGGATTCCAGTAAAGTATGCCATCTACAGACTTGCTGTCCTTTAGACTCCTTCATTTCAGTCCAGTGGTTGAGTTCGTCTTCTCCTGAGCTGTTGAGACCTAAGGAAATCCAGCCTATCATCTCTTTCCGCTTCATGCTGCGCTTGTTGTACACGGACAGTATGAGCGTCACGTCCGAGAGCTGGAACAGCGCCACCTGGAAAACGAAGGTTTCCTTGTACACAGGGTTCGGCTGCCCTCGGCGGATCGAAGTCTTGCATTTGGACATCTCCTGCCCCATCGAGTTCAGCAGTGTTAACTTAACATATGTATCTACAAAAGAAGTCACATCGTGGAACGTCAGATACCTTGGAACCAAAGACTTGCAGAATGAGGTATTTACAGAGAACAAGGATATGGTGTATACCAGGATGGTTGAACACAGCTTAGGTTAGACACATGGAGAGATGGCAAGTAAACAAAATATTACAAACACACTAACAAATGAACTAGCTCCAGCACTACATACATGGGTTAAGTTAAAGGTATACCTCATAATCCTCTTCCCATTGAACCCCCCAACCCCTGTTTAATCTAAAAAAAACTTAAATTGCAATAACACTTAGCAAGCTCCAGCTAGCCACAACACTGTAAGCATACCATTGAAATTTCAAAGAATATGGATAAATGAAGTGGAATAAAAGCAATTAATGAAGTGGGAGAAAAAAAATATGTCAAAATGCAGCGATGATATCAAAACAGCCAGGATAAAATGCTTAAGAATAATCTCTGCATGGATGTGGTTCTCATTTGGGCTTTTCAGTTTTATTTATTTTGAAAACCAAAATGTAGCAAAGTGCATTCAAAGATGGCAGTTTACAGGATACAAAAACCCCTATTATTTCCTAGATTCATGAAGGAATACATTTACCGCATGTTTAAAGAAAAGCAAGTTTTTGCATAATTCAAGATGATTGTTCAAAAAGTAGCTTGTATGGTGCTTTTAAGCATACATTTAAGAAGCTGATGCAAGTAATGTAGTAAGCGCACATTATGTGTTAGCATTTGGGTATAAACCCTTATTTTTAAATATCTATTTTCATTGGACCAAAAGCACCAAACAATACTCCTGCAGAAGGATGCACATTTCATGAAGTTAACTAATTATAGGAAATATAAAATTGTATAAAACAATTTCATATTTAATTTTTTTTCCTATCTTTTTATATTAATGGATAATATCAACTAAAGGTTGGAGTTTATGTTTAAAAAACACATGGAATATTTTTACTTTGCAGGTACACTGAAACCCCAACATCCATAATCAGAGATAAATGCAACTTTTGCATTAGAGAGTGCCACAAAAAATAAACATGTACTTTTATAAACTGGCATGGTAGGCAGCTGTGGATATTTTATTGCTGGCAGGTTTCTTTTGCATGAAAAAGACAACATCCAATTAGTTTCTACAGGAACTCACCTCGGATTATATAAACCTGTCCACCTATCAAGTGTTTTAGACAACAGAACAGTCCGTCTGACAACAGGGGGTGGAAAGCAGTAAAAGAAATAATGACCAGATGTCAATAGTTGGGTGAGAGAGGATCAAAGGTTAAAGTTTAAGAGGAAACACTATTCACTGGAGCAGAAGAACATGAAACCTTAGCAGCAGAGATCAGAAAAAGGACTGAACAAAAGGATTGTTAGGTAAAATTTAATGAAATGGAAATTTTGTGCAGTTTTTGTGTAATCTTTAACAAAAATTATGTTGCTTACATAATGGGTTATCTTAGGACTAATAGACACTGGATTCAAAGCCACACTTACCATAGCAAGAATCCTCCAAATTACTAAGTTATAGCAGATTGGGTAAAAATCACTGTATCCTTTTCAAACCTTATGCTTTTTCATGCAAACTCCAGCATATTTAGAAAAACTGCACATTAAAGTAATTAAACTTCATATATTAAAAGCAATAAAATGAAAAATAATTGAACCAAAATCCCAGCTGGTTTTGCTCTTAACTTTTCTATTTTACTGATATTTGATTATAATACTTCAGTTCTTGAGTAGTGATGAACTTGGGCACAAGAATGACTCTGATGTAGTCTCTAAAAAGAGCTGAGGGACACATACCTGAAATTCAGCAATGGGTCTCTATTTAGGATGATAGACCTTGCTTTTTAAAATCCACATATTTATGCATTTAATGTGTGTGTGTGCATGCATACACACATGCATTTAATATGCAAAAGCTCATACCCTGTTTCAAGTAAACTGAGAAGCATCTTTTTCTTGGGCAAAATATTAACTGTCACACAGAGAAACAAAGAAAACACACCCACTGTTACTGCCTGCAGGATTTGGCCCATTTGCCTGTACTCAATTGCTAAATGAGTTACTATGCAATATAAATATGCAGTAGAGGAGCATGTACTAGCAAGAAGTAGAAATTTAGTATTCAGTTCATATTTGCTGCAGAAGCACTTCACAAAAATTCACAAGTTCCCAAGCCCTACACTACAGAAACGTGGGAAAGAGTAATTGCTTCCATTTCTATCACAGCTCCTCAATACGTGAATGAAAACTGAACTGTTAGTATACTTTGCAGCACTTCTCAGTATTCTGGACTGATAGTCCAAACAACAAATGTGAGCAGGATATTTCTTCTTCATCATCATCATCGTCATCATCATCATCATCATCATCATCATCATCATCATCATCATCATCCTCACCATCCCTACAGGCCTTAGTTTTAATTTTGTGGAAATGATGGCACAGATTGAGACTGGCAGATGTCCATGATGTACTCAACAGGGAGTTGGGATATGACAGTGGCACGGACCTGGGTCCAGGAATTGAAAAGGTGCCACCAGTGCTGGGGGCAGGGGAAGGGGATGGCATGAAACAGCCCAAAGGGGAAATCTGGATTCCACAATATTCTGTGCATGGTTTTACCAGACCCAGAAAGTTCATTAGTTTCCAGCTTTCTAGAAACAACAGAACTCTGAACCCACATTTGCCAAAACAGAACTGGACTATTGTTATTATAAATATCAAATCTTCCCCCTATCCTTCACAGGGACAAAAGGTAGCATGGAAACTCTTCCCTCTGAAAAGGTTAGACAGAACATGGTTTTACAGGGCTATGTGCCATGTTCTTTCTATGGTCCTTTCTTGCAATCTGAAACAAATTTTTTACCCCAGTGACACTCACAACTGTTAGCTACACAGCATGGGCCCACTGAGCACATTTTGGGAATTAACATACTGGGGAATGAGCATCTCTGTTTTCAAAACAAGTACTGAACCCCTCCTACCTTGCATGTTTTAAATATTAAATAAAAAACAGCCATCTCTGAGATTTCAGAAAGATAAGCATCTGGTTTTGCTTTTAAGGGAACACATGACCTCTTCTCTCCCTTTAATTTCTTCCCACACCCCAGTGTCCTTGGACCTCTTTGGCTTTCCCCATCTGTTTCTACACTTTGCCTCCAAACAGGTGACTCTGGGGCAGCTACCCAATTATACAAAAGTATTAGAGATTCATCTATTGCCTTCCTTCTCTGGCCATGTTAACAAAGTCTGGCTCTGTCAATGTGAAAAGTATAGAGAAAGCAAAGCAGAGTAAGGTAAGCCAACTATGAACAGAATAAACATGGGTCAAGAAAATGAGAAAGAGGAGAGCGCATCAGTATCAACTCTGGCTGACCTCCTAAACTGAAGACAAAGTGAGATGTGTAAACCACTTACAAAATGTTGGCAGCCTAACACATAATCCAGTATCAGATAATCTGCTAGTGCCATACTAATCTGGGGCTTAAAACCAGAAAGAGTAGCTGAAACCTAAGCCTCCTGATAAAATCAAAAGGAACTGGTAGGTATTTCTTATTAGCACTTAAGTAAATCAGACACACCATCTTAAAAACAATAAAAATAGTAAAAAAAAAAAAGTCTGTTACTGAACTTTCTGAAGCTATATGAAAGAGCTAGAGATACTAATAACATTCCCTCCCTGTGACATTCCAGCTGGCTCCACTTAAGAAGTGTATGAAGTTCACAGATATTTCAGACGTATATTTTTGAACAAATGCTTGAAGACACAATTCAAGTCCTTTTTGATGGTGAACATTCCTCCTGTACAGTAAATATGCCAAAGGCCTCAAGCGGTTGCTCCTTGTCTTTACTGACAATCCCAAATTACATATATTACCACATATATACAGGCACATAGGCAATTAAAGACTGCAGCATCAACCCCTCCAGGAACAGCAATAACTGTTCAGAATGTTTATATTAATATTAACTGGCATGTACTTTCTCTTTAAACACTGACTTTTTTATTCTTGGCCTGTGATGTGAGGCATTAGTAATTTAGCAATTAATCATTATGATAAAGGTAATTTATTAGTCAGTCATCATGAAAAATTAAAAAAGGCTTGTCAACTTACAATTAATATTTTGAATTTTAGATTTTTGCTATTTCCCAACTGACTAGAAATATAAAACATGAAACAGATTAGTTGATGATTGCTCTACTTCATTTTGATTGGGTAAGACTAAGTGATAAGACTGAAGTCCTTGCTACCAAGAGCCCCACCAGTACAGAAGCATTAGGATGAAAAAAGATTTTCACTCACTGGGTGGTCTGTTCGCTGCCAAGTTTTTGAAGTGGCTGCCTTTTATCACTTCTGCTGATAATCTTCCAGTTGTAGCATTATAAAGGAGGCCAACGAGGATTTCTGGAGCTGAGCCATGTACCAGAGACTGACAAGAGGAGGTACTTTCACTGCAGGACACTTCTGACATGCTCATTTGAGAGTCACAACCCTATAAAACAGATTAAAAGTTCTGTGTGTCTTATGGAATGATGTTACTGGGAAGTCAATTTTCAGAATAATGCACAGAAAATTCTAAAAGCAACATAGTCACAATAACAAGTTCCATTAAATCACCCAATATGAAATGTACATTCTTAATATATGCTTAATTTGCACATGTTAGAGGTAACAATAAAGTGGTCTGAAATTAAAACAATTATTAGGTGCTTCATGATTAAGGAGAAATAACAGCAGAAGATGAAGAACAGCCTTTATGATCCCTATTTACTTCAATTTCTAAGGTAAGACCTGTAACATAATTCGTCAGCATCCTGGAAAACATTAAACATTGGACCTTTTACTTTCCAAAAAATGGACAACAACAGTGGAACCTTGAAGATAATAAAATGCAGAAAATTCTTATTCATCCTTTGCAAAGGTTATTCTCTAGCCTGAGAATTTATGAGTAGCAAAATAACAGAACACATGCAATTAGAAAAATGCACTCCTTCTAGCATAAGTTAGCTTACAAGGAATTTAACTGGATCCAGGGACACAGAACTGCAATAGTACCGTTGTTTTGGGTGGGAAAGGAAGAATGCCATCCAAAGCTCAGGAAGCAATGCTTTAATTTCAACCCTGAAAGCTTCCAAAAAATCTTTCACGCATTCTGAATACATCACATCTTTAACGGGAGTTTCTATTACTAATTTTTATCATTTTAACTCCTCATTATTAACATTAAAAAAGGAAAAAAAATGAACTTTTTTTACGCTGCCATGCTAACCACACCATAGCTGTTCCTATTCTCATTTGCACTAGCACATAAGAGTGGTACTACAGAAAACAGAAAACTGGATGGCAAGAAGCCAATGGAATGACAATGTACTTGGTAACTGAGGAGAGACTTTTGAATTATCAGCACATCCCTTTATGATTCTCTCAGAAAAAGTGTAAATTGGGTCCACAGATTTTTCAAATATGGTTTGACTCATTTGGGAACCTGGCATCACTCTTCCAAGGAGTCATGATGATATTGTGAAGCTGATTCTTCCAGATTCCAAATGTCTCTATCATTTCCAACAACAGCTGACATGGGCATAAGATCAGACCTAAAACCCATATAGCACAAATCCTCATCAAGATAAATGTTAACTTTATAAGCAAGTAACTTCAGCTGACATATAAAGCCCACATGCATTATAGAATCTCAAATTATAGAAGACAGGATACCTACAATAATATCCCTTTTATTGACATTTTAACTAGTTCTTTTCAACAGAACATTTCCCAAAAGTCTAGAAGAAGTTTCAAATAGCAATCCAGTTCCTCATTAATAAACATTAACTGTTGTTAGCAAATGTATTCTTACTACTGAAGAAGGACCTCAACAAATTTCTCTGATTTTCCTCTCCCAAGCTGCAAATTCAGAATTTTAAGTCTTTGGTTGTTTCTCCAAAAGCTCTTTATTCAGTGGCAAGAATAAATTTCAAACTGCTTGGAAATTGTTAATTGCTGAAAATTAATTACAAGTATACATTCATTCTCTGATTCTTGTCATTCATAGAACAGGAAATTTTTGATTCCTAACTTCAACAGAAGGAACAAAATGGAAAGTTTAAAAGAAAGATGACTTGATTCAGCAGAAACACTGCACACTTGAAAACCTCAGTTTCATGGTTTGACCCTGGCACAATGCCAGGGCCCCCATGAAAGGTCCAAAATGGTTACTGTGAGATGTGACCCGGAAACAGAACAAAGCAGGCTCCAACTTGGGAATGGAGGGAAAAACACAACACTTTATTAATTACAATATCTAAAAAGGAACAAACACAAAACTAAGAATGAAAACCCTCCAATACATTCCTCCTCCTCCCCTCCATTTTCTCCACAGAATGAAATAACACCATAGATTTCCACCCTGTCACCATCTCTCACACAATCAACTTTCAGTCCATCATCACCCCTCAAATAATCAACCCTCAAATCCAAATCAATCCTCAAATCCAAACCTCTCCAGGGAGAGAGGAGTCCCCCCTTGCACCACAGGCTTCCCCCGGAAGCACAATTGAAACCTCTTGTGCTTCCGTGTCACTCGTGGCACTGCCCAGAGAACATCGGCCCTCGTGACTTCTTCCCCCCACTTTGCCCAGTGCTCTCACCACTGGACATGGGCCAGGACTGCTTTTAGGGTTCCCTGTTTAAGGATGATCCACCCACTTCCAGAAGCAGCAGTCTCTCAACTTTGGGACACCAGTCCCCCCCAAATTTCACCCCCTGGGGCCGAGGGGCCTCATGAACAGAGATCTTCCCCTCCACGGAGACAGAGGGCATCCCACGCCCTCCTCAGCCGTCTCTGTTCATCCCACTGCTTCACTCTTGACTCCAAGGTGTTGCCTCCCCCTAAATACAGTCTCCGGCCATCAAGAAAGAGTCCAGCCCAAGGCCACTCCATCATCTCTTCCCACCTAGGATTCTTCCCTCTTCCAGCTTTCTTCACGCCCATTTCATCTCTCATTTCTCTCTCCTCATTCTGATTTAGGAGAATGAGTATTTGTAAGGTTTCCATTATTCTACAAAGGGGTTAAAATCTTCACCTCTGTCTGCCCAGGACTCCCACAGCTGCCGGGCACCTTCTCTCCCCGCATCCCTCGCTTCTGGCCGGCTGTGCTGCCAGCACAGTCTCTATCACTCTCTCTGGGGGGGCTGCCCAGACATCCCAGGTCTCCTCCACCCCTGCACCTCACAGGGCTCCGGCCTCCCTCCCCACAGGCCGCATGGCCTTCCCCTCCCCACCCAGACGCAGCTGGGCAGGCGAGAGGTCAGACTCCACTCACTGCCGGACTCCAAAAGAGGAAGTTCTCTGGGAATCCTCTGCTTTTAACCCCTGTGTGTTCGCAGAGGCGTATCCAGATTCCCAGTGGCCACAACAGGTGCCAATTTCAAATCTGGCCACTGGTTGGTTTGACCACAACCTTCCCAGAAACTCACTTCCTGGTCAAACCACAACACTCAGCCTGTCACAACTGCAGCTATTACTTCAGTTTTCTGGTCTTTTACAATTGTAACACGCTATCCCCATGGTGCTTATTCACCTTATTATTTTTTGAGCCAGGAATTTTAGCACAGTCCACCTGACACTGTTCCAAGCTTAGGTGTCAAATTTGATTGAAATCATGCTGCAAGTGCACAAAAAAAAAAAAAAGATATAACACAAAGAAGGCAGCTGAGTAACATTGTCCCCAAATCCTCCAAGGGCTTTGATATGCTGAGGGAAGGTGATGACAGTGCCTTTTCCTAACTGGGATTTATTTGTACAATTTACTGATGTCCTAAGAGGGACTTAGAAACCAGTTTATGACAGAGTCAAACTCACTACAATGGGTATCACAGTAAGGTTTAGCCTGTTAGAAACAGTGAATATTAAATGAGTAACTGCTGAGTGGAAATGAGTCCTGAAGTACCAAGAAAGAGAAGACAAGTAGCTTCCGTGTGGTATAATAGAGAAGTAGGAAAACAACTGAAAAATTCAATGTGTGGTATTCCAAAGCTACATAAGCATGAACTAGAAATACCATTCCTTTTCAGCAGAATCCTGAGTAGACAGGAGAAGGACAAGACTGCCTTTTTCAAGGCCAAGCAAAAGGATCTCACCAGCTGAATGGTGGGGTGAGAAGACCAAGGTGATGCTTCAGAACTCTAAGTGGATGGAAATACTTAAAAGTGTTGCACAGAAAGAACTGGTAGATGTAAACTAGATGAAAATCTGGAGAGAGCATCTAACTTAAATATTCTGCTACAATAGCTTCTAAACTAAAATATTTTTTGCAGGTTTGAGAAAAACAAATGAATGTTGTTTAATCCCTATTTTATAATAAACTTATGGATCTCCTTCCTACAAAACTGTGGGGACATAGACATGACATTAAAATAAAGCAATTAAATTCACTAAAGGAAAAATCTAAACAGCACTTTGTTTTCCCTCTCGCTCTACAAGAACCTCAATTTCAATTAATTTTGTTTCATGCTGACCCAAATGGATTTAAAAAAAATACTCTGCTTTTTAGTTATGAACTGCAAAATCCTAATACAAGAGAAAGTGAAATGTTAAGAAGGAAAACAAAGCAGATTAGAAGACAGAATGATGTTACCGGGTTAAAAAAAATAAACAACATTAACCAAAATATACTTTCTGTGGCTATAACAAGGAAGAAAACAGAGGATTTAGGGACAAGTATGTAAAAGACCTGAGGAAAAGGGGAGAGCAAGACTGCATTCTGTCAGTTTTCTTTTAAAAGAAACCAAAAATTTTATGAGGAAGAGAAGAAACCAGAATCAGGAATCATAAGAGACAGCTGAGATCAACTGGGCTCAGACCAACAACTAAAGAATGACTTTCCCTTGCAGGGCAAAGTTAAAAGCAGAGATACTGAGTACTATTAGATGTCTTCTGTAAAGTATTTTCTCCAGCACAAAGTTTATTGTTCACATTGTGGAAATCCAGTCATTATTTTAAGGAAGATATTCCACGATAACGACATCTGAGGGTAAGTAACCTGACTTTGAGCTAAATCATATGCTGCATTAGAACTGGAAAGAACAGCTTTATTAAAGTTTCTGTTTTTCTGTTTACACAACTCAGAATTCTAGAAGAGCACTAACAAACTCATCAAGAAAAAAGCCAGACAAGAAGTTACACTTTTACCTGCTCAAAATACAACCTTCAAAATCAAGTGCCAAATTGTAAAATATCAACACTGAAATTGCTCATTGGTACAACATGAATGTAGATGGAGCTCCAATGTCAACATTACAGTGCAACTAGATGCTTTTCACCTCCATGCAGGTCTGCATTCAATCTGTCTGTAAAGCTCTCTCCCACTTTGGTACTGCTGCTTCTCTGTGGGAAACTTAAGATTCAGACCAAAAGTTACTATTTGTTAGAAATAATGTCTGTGTAAGTTTATTTTCATAAAGCTTCCCACTCATCCTTTATATATACTGTGTGTA